GGGGGGGGGGAGGGGGGAGAGTTGTTAGATATACGAACAAAAATGGTGACAGAAACATGAACCCACAATCAACTGCAACTCAGGATGTGTAATACCTTCGGTTGCTTTAGATCCCAATCAAAATTGAACCTAAAGAACTTTCTACTGCAAAGTGTGATCAATTTTGGAGATATATGACAGTCACTGATTCATCACCCACATGGTTCTCATAAGAAATACTAGATTTCTAGCTTAATGGCAATAAATTGGAATGTCGTAAAACAAAACAGAAAAATAAGATTATTTTTAATATATAATCACATGTGATAAACTATCTTGACCTCTGTTTTACTTGCACACTTCTTTATTTGCAGACGCTGGTACAAAATCTTTTTTCATTTGGAACAGAAGCAGGCACTAAATACAATGACCAAATACAAGCACAAATCAATTAAAAAAATCATTTACGTCAAGCGATACTAACTGATCAGAGATGACCTATCAGAAACGAAACCGAATGGTACAAAGTGATCACAATAAATTTATTGAGAAAAACGCAATTTCCAAGTCATACATATATGTGTATATGTCTAATTGAATTGGATTCGAATTGGCTAAAGTCCTTTAATTCAAATACGAAAGCAGTAAGAAAGATCGAAGCTGAGGACTTACCTCACCGGATATCACGCCGGAAAGCTTACGGAGAACTGTACGTGCTCCGTTACAGATGGAGGCCTGTCAGTTACAGGCCTTCCGTCCCAACAAAATGAACCCTGGAGTTTCAGAAGTGCCTTATGAGTTGGGGAGAATTACACTGAAATTATGAGGATTTTGTCGTTTAATTATTCAAACCTTGACATTTTAAATATTATCCACGGACCTTCGAGGTTTGTACGCGTAACCCATATACATCTGTTGTCGATTAATAAATTACATCAAAATCGCTTGTAATTTGTATTGTAATTAGAACGTTTAAGTTTAAAATATTATATTTAAATAAAAAATATTTTAATTAAAAATAAAATATTAAATATTTTAAAATTTTACAACTAAAATTCATATTCTATTATGAAATTTATTAAAATAAAATTAAAAATAAAAATATACTTTTTTAAAAAAAAAATCATAATTAGTATATAATTATACTATCTATTAGAATTTATTTTGGTCATTTAAAAGACCAATTATCCCAATTAAATCTAGAATATATTGTGTCCATTATAGTTTGACCCCTTGTTTAAATTTTTAATTTTACTCTAAAAAATAGTATAATTATATACTAATTATGACTTTTTATTTTATTTTAATAAATGACATAATAGAACATAAATTTTAGTTTGTAAAATTCATGTTTTGGTATGAATGACTTAAACCCCTTATTTGATTTTTTTAGTTTTATTCTAGTAGATAATATAATTGTATACTAATTATGATTTTTTGAGAAAAAATTAACTTTATTTTTTATTTAATGTCAATAAATGATATAATAGATAATAAATTTTGGTTATAATATTTAAAATATTTAATATTATATCTTTGATTAAAATATTTTTTATCTAAATATAATATATTAAACTTGAAATATGTAAGTATTATATATCTATAAATTTTAAGAGATCTGAATGTAATTTACTAAACATTTGATGGTTGGAGTCTAATTATTATGCGTGTATCACGTCAAAGGGTCTATGTATATGTTCATAATATTTTAAATGTTAAAAAATTTGAGTGATTAAATGATAAATTTTAGAAAATCTATGTATAATTTTTTTTATGAGTTGCTTGCAAGTTGCGCATGTGAGACTTGGGCGCCAATTATGGGCCCTTACGCAATGAATTTGAGGGCCACGAGGGATGAGTATGGTTGGATTGTTTATCTTAAATTTTTCGCAACTCATATCATTTTGATTTGAAGGTCTTTATTGAATTTTTATTTTTTTTATAATTTTAAGATTTTCATCTCTCATATAACTCTTTCTATTTATCTATCTTATACTCTCTCTCTCATACTATTAGATGTTTCCTTTTTTTTTTGTTTCTCGTATATTGTTTTTATAGTTAAATTGTTTGTCTTGAACTTTTTGAGGCACAAATTATTTTGATTCAATGGTTCTAATTAGATTTTTATTTATTTTACAAATTTAAAATTCTCATCTCTCATATAACTCTCTCTGTCTATCTATCTTATACTCTCTCTCTCTTTCTCTCATACTATTATCTTCTTCTTTTTTTTGTTTCTNGCACGACATAACTTGATTATTGTGTAAGGCACCAAAGGCAGAGCCATTATAGTTAAGATAAAAATTGGGAAGAGTGCACTGTTCTCTTCTGTTGCAGCCATTTTCAAAATTCTGTTTACAAATACTCGCCACAAATTGCTAGTTTGTACTCCTGAAGAGGTTCTTCCAGTTAGGAACTTATATATCCACAAATCTAAACAAAACACCCAATGAANGCACGACATAACTTGATTATTGTGTAAGGCACCAAAGGCAGAGCCATTATAGTTAAGATAAAAATTGGGAAGAGTGCACTGTTCTCTTCTGTTGCAGCCATTTTCAAAATTCTGATTACAAATACTCGCCACAAATTGCTTGTTTGTACTCCTGAAGAGGTTCTTCCAGTTAGGAACTTATATATCCACAAATCTAAACAAAACACCCAATGACAACACATCACATCCCAAAAAAGAGGTACGGATTGAAGGCTTAAAATTGCACATATGGAACTTAAATTTTTTTACCCATCCTCCAGCTAAGACGCAAGCTGATTGGCAGTTATGTATGTAATTTGGCAACATTAGTAAATCAATTAATACAATTTATTTTTCTTATATTAGGGTGCCAGTTTCATTTTTTGTTGTTCTGTGTGTGTGGTAGTGGTGGTGGTGGTTTTTTTGTTTTTTTTTTTTTTTTTT